TTACAGCATGTTGATGGCACTGGCCGAAAGCGCCGGTAGCCGTGACAGCCGTGCGGCCTTTTCCAGATTGCAGCTCATGCAACGCTCCAGGTAGTGCGTCGCTTTCGTACAGCATGGCAGGGTAGCCAAGTGCACTCACCGTAGAAACAGCCCAGCGTGCTACTGAAGCGAATAGAAGTACTGGCGGAGGGAGCCGTTTACACAGCGGGATGCATGGTAAACTACAGGGTGGGCTTAGTATGCGTCCCAGATATCCTGTAGGATGAAAGTTCGAAGGGTTTAACGTTTGAGGGTTTAGGTTTACGGTTTACGTTTAGGATTTAGTGTTTACAGTCTAGGATTGACGGTTTAGGCGTAGTTACTACGGGCTTAGTGTTTTAGGGTTCTGGCGTTTAGGGTTTATTGTTTAGCCTGTACCGTAAACCGTAAACTACAAACGCCAAACCGACCCGTTAACAGTAGACCGAAAGCCTAAAAGCTTGCATCCTAGACCCTAAACACCCCCAAAACCTAAACCCTAGAAAACTCTAAAAACTAAGCACTCGACCTTCAACACTAAGCCCGAAGCCCTAAAACCCTGAACACGCTTGGCCGTCAACCCTGAACCCGAAACCTTAAGACGCCCTAAACCCTAAAACCCTAAACCATAAACCATAAACCCATAAACCCTCAACCCTAAGCCTTTTATTACAGTTTGAGGCCGGGAGCGGGCCCGCAGTCTCCGAGCTTGAGCTTTGTTGCTCAGCCAGGGGCCACTTGACCGGCGTCTCGGTCGTGTGACTCGCCAAATCACCATGCAACAGGCCGGGATCCTAGGTCCCTACGGGGGAAACTTTGCCAGAAGAACCGGCTATGCATATATAGCCAATATGCGTTAGTTCCGAAAAGGTCCCGTTCAAGTTCACTGTAACTGCCCCTTGCTTTTGTGGGGTCTCGAGGCTGATCGGCCCTTGGTTGTAAAAGTGCATGGAGGACAAGCTGCACTCTAACCTAGCGGTCACCTCCACATGGCTCACTGTTACCAAAATGCATCTAAGAATAATACAATTAAAGCTAGCACTACCTCCATATCAAGCACGAGCCCCCGTGTACACTAGCGAAAGTGTGGTCGGCCACTTGGTCACAAGGTGCCCGGCGCCTACGCTGGTCCACAGTCGAATGCTACCATAAGGGCCGTAGGGGTACTTTCACCCAAATTATGTTACGAGCTGAACAGTATCTACACGGGTAGAGAGTCAGCAAACTAATGGGTGCTTTTCCACATCTAGGGGGAACGCAATGTCTAACTCGCCCCCCACGCATCAACTTTGCTCCATCTGAATGAGACTTAATCCCTTTCAAGTGTTGTAGGTGGCATGTCTAAGAGGTTCAAGCTTTGTCTGCAACATCATTTCA